GGGAGACCCTGAAGACGAAATGAAAGATGTGGCCCTCTCCTTGCATTGGTATCCTTGATAGTGGCTTTGGTCACTACACTATTAAACAACAGTGTTGAGGGGGAAAGCTCAGAGAGAACAGAGAGGCTTCTATCAAGATGAGTAGTGTGGGGGTGGACAGGAAAGCCTCTTTAGTCTAGAAACAGAAGATCCAAGTGTGCAGAGTGAATGTAAAAAGCAGGAAAAGAGTAAAAGAATAGCATAAAAAAATGAGAACATGCATGTGTCTTCATTCTGGGAAGACAGTTCCCAAGATTAGTCCCTCTTGGGCTCTGGAAGACATGATTTCAAGTACATAAAAGGAAGTCCTACTTTACAGATGGTTTGCAAGCTCACTGTCCCTGAAAGCATAATAAATGGAGGTATAGGCAAATTCAGGAATGAGGATTCTATGGTGTGGGCAAGAGAAATCTGTGCAGATTAGCCCCAGTGGTGTGCCAGGATGCCAGCCTCCTCATCCCTTAGGGCAACTAGGATCCTCAGGGCTGGGTTGCCTCTAACCCTGAGCAGCTTAGTGTGGTTACTCCAATGAGGCACACAAACATTTTCAATGTGTGCAGTGACTTGTAAAAGGCTGGAAGCATTGGTCTGGGGGACGTGCCTCACTTTCAGGGGCTGATATCATGGAAGGCAGCCAGGTCCTTGTATAAACAGTTCCTAAGATGCCTCTGATAAAAGATTGGTCTATAATGCTACCACTGTGTTTGGAGAGAAACCTGTTAACTGGTCAAGTTCAGAACTGTTACCTCAGCGTAAAAACCTTCTGAAAAACCCTAATTACTGTTTTCCTGACAGTTTCACCACTAGGCCTTTAAGTGCTAATTAGAGAGGCAGTAAGAAAAAGCACTGGTGGGTTTTGAATTCTAGTTCTGCATGTATGCTCTTGAGCAAGTCATTTAACCCCCAGAAGACCCAAATTTCTCATCTGCAAGCTGGTGACAACATCACCCAACACCTAATAGGTTCTAATGGACCATTTCCCTCTTTCCTTCTGGGTCTCTCTTTCACACTGTCACTTGAGAGAGTTGAACAAAATGTCTGATCCTGCCTCTCTCCTACTTAAAATTCTTACATGATTCCTTTCTACAACAGGATAATCCCCTTTTGCATTGGCCTCATTTTCCCAACTTGTAAATGGATGGTGTTTCGGGCAAGGCTTATAGCACAACCATAATGGAAGACATAGCTGGGCAGACCGTTTGGAGATAGATCATGAAGGGCTTGAATGTCTTACTAGGCTTCGTTTAAACTTTTGATAAAATTTTTCTCCCTGGCTTCAGAGGGATCTGAAGTGGCATGCTCAGCGTGCTCTTCAGGCAGAGTGGCTAGGGGGAAAGTGAGCATTTTGAATGCATTTTAGTACTCAAGCAGGGCCACATGAGCTGGTGTGTGCGTAACTCTGCATGCAAACGCCACTCAAGAGCTGGAGCTTTGAACAGGAGTTAAAAGAGTTGAGTCCCTAACGACATACAAAAGACTTGCCGGTGTGATTTATTCTGATGTATTTACTTATCCAATTACCAAAACAGCAGGAGATCATTAAATTTTCTAGTTACCAGATGCAGCACGTTCAATATCTTAAATGTTACCAAGGCTCTCTCTGAGCTATTTTGATATTACATTTCATCTGCCCAAAAGCTTATGAAACTGGAAGGCAAGAATCATGAACAGAACAGGTGTTTTCTTTGAAGGTTGGTCCAGCAGGCGCCTGTACAACACCAAACTTATACCAGAAACTCTCAGACTCTCCTGGACTTAAGGAAAGGTACCATGATGAGAAATAACTATTTAGGAGAGAAGATGCTAAGGAAGTGGTACTTGAAGGTGGCTGGGGATATGTATTTTACCTAGCCAGACTTTCTTCATGCTCATTTCCTGTCAGTTCAGTCCTTATGTCCACAGAAGTTCAGGGCTCAGTGTAGAGGAGGAGAGAAGGGAACAAGCACCCTTTGAGAGACTCCAAACCTGGCCCCTAACTCTAGCACACAGCTTCTAACTATCTGTGTGATCTTGGGCAAGTCACTTTTCCTCCTCTGAGTTTCCTTCTGTTAAATAGGATGTTGTAATTATAAATAAATAAATAAATAAATAAATAAATAAATAAATAAATAAATAAGGATGTTATATCTGATGCACCCTTAGATACCTGCTAGGAGCATCTACACAGCTTGTCTTCCACTGCGCTTTACACGAATATCTCCTGGATAAGACTGAGAAACTTAAAGACAGGAACTGTGTGTTCCTCTATTTCCAGCTTCCAGAAAAGAACCTAGTGCATTATATGCTCTCAATAAATGCTTGTTGAATAAATGATCAAACTAGAGATGTACATCATGGAACAATGAAAAATACAGAGCAAGCCTCTATTAACATTTGTAAAGTTAGGCGGCAAAATAGATGTTTATTCTATTTTCTTTTGAAAAAATACATCAAATAAGTGATATCTGGGGCTAAATGTTTTGAAAGGGTGGTGGTGGCTTGGCCCCAACACTCTTTCTCTAAATACTATCCCCTCACAGACCTTATGCTCTAGCCAATTAGAGCAGTTTGTTATTCCCCAAATATGTCTGATACTTCTCCTCTCTGAACCTTTGCTTATGTTGTTTCCTCTACTGGACTGTCCCTCCTCCCCAGTTCCATCTGTTGAAACTTCTATATCCTTCAAGGCTCATCTCAAATGCTACTTCATCTACAAAACCAGGCCTAAGTGACAGAGCCTAAATTAATCCCATTCTTTGGTTCCTTGTAACAGAGTTAATCCTAAGTGGCATCTTCTCCCATTCACTGGGCCATGGGCTCCTGGAACACAGAGGCCATATATGTTTATTGTGGTCTCTCCCTCAAGTGCCTATTCTACACATGCCCTGCATGTGGTCAGTCCACATCTGATGCACTAATACCTCTGTTTCACCTCAGACAGGGTGGTTGCCAACATCTGTTGGCAGACTTAAGATCAGTGTTTGAACTGAAATGTAGACACTGGCAAGTTGACCTTTTCCTTTGCTAAACCAGCACTACGATACTGTACTTTTCCTTGACCAGGCAAGGCTACCCATTTCTGGAGGATCTAGCTCAAAGGATCAGCTACAGTCTCACACGAGTTATTTGTCTGTTGTGCCTCTCAGGTTTGTCTATGAGTCTGTCTCTCCAGTTAGGTTGAATTCTGAGGGCACAAAATGAGGTTTCACTGGCTATCTATCCTCAGAGCCTAGTGTATTGCTGGGAACAGTGTGAATTCAACAAATGTTTGTTGAAAGACTGACCTACTGAATGACTGAATGGGGGTTCCCCACTCCTCCCAGGAGTGTCCACCAATCCAAAGAAAGGGAGTCAAGAAGAGCTGTATTCCCAGGTGCCTTCGCCCTAGCCTCATTGCAACAGTAGGCAGAGCTTGTCAGTAATACCATTAACAGGTCCCTTGGCTCTGGACTCTGGCCCTTGCCTCAGTCAGTCCTGCTGCACAGACATAGAGACTGACAATAAGTTTGCATCAGTTGCCCTTCCAGAAGGGACAGATTTTTCCCTGTCTATTTAAACGCTGTTGGAATTGGCTAATTAGAAGGATTTAAAAAATCTTAATACTCTAAACAGAGAAAACTGGTTCTGAATTATTAAGGAACATTTTCAATGCATCTGACTAACCTTAAGTGACTTTGCTGCCACCTGATCCTAAGCTCTGGCTCAGATAAATAAATGTGAAATATTGTCAAAGCCCTAGCTTATAGGAGCCTCCAGCTACAGTAAATAAAAACTTAAGTTCCCATAAACTGCCTGGGACAGAGACATTCTCATATAAAAGGAGAGAAGACAATCTTAAATAAAGCCAGTACGACCAGAAAGCCAATGGTTTTGCTCTAGTTTTCAGAATAGTGCTGTCAACAGGGCAGGTGTTATCTATATGCAGGTCATTTAATCATAGAGTCACATAGTATCAGAGCTGAGAGAAGATTAAGAAAGCATTTATTTTAATCTCTTCATATTTCAGATGAAGAAAATAAGACCCAGAGAAGTATGTACCTTGCTTGAAATCACACAACAAATGGCTGAAAGAACTGAGATTCTGCCCCGGATGCCTGGCTCCCAGGTTAGTTCCCTTCCTAGTCTATCACACTCTTCTGAGAATGTCCTGCTGGAGATGTCAAAACGAGAGGCTAGCAACTGGCTGTTAACAAAAACACCTGAACATTTTAACCAGATGGGTGACTTCTAGAGCTTAAATTCCAGAGATTCCATGGTTCCCCCTAAGACTTTGGAGTTCTCTTCCATGACTGTGCAGGGGGAGGGAGCAGGGAGAAACATGGAGGTAGGGGGAGAGACATGGAGGGAAACCAGGAATAAGTGAGGGTGAATGTCACTATACTGTAGTCCTTCTCTTGCCTCTGCTCAAGCCATGAGGATACCATGAGCTTCTGCCTGGTGAGATGGAAAATACAAAAGCAAAAACCAAATAAAAACAGTGGATGCATGAATGGGTAGGAATACTTCATTCCTTTTCATTTATTTACTAAACAAATATTTCCTGAGTGTTTACTACAATGTTGGAATCTGCGCTAGGCACTGGGACACAACAGTGAACAAGGCACTATCTCTGTCCTCAAGGAATGGAGAACCTAGGACAGGATGCAGACAAGAAATCAGCCCGCTGCAATTCAAACCAGTAAAGGGCTATGATAGGGAAGAGGTTCAGCAGGGGGGCACGAGGAAGGTAAGCACCTCAGTCCCAGGGTGTCAATTAGCTCCTTATTTGTCCTTCTTCTTGACTCATTCTAATATGCACAACTGTCTCCTACAATCGAATTAATAATTTTTCTGACTTATACTTTTACACATAATAATTCAGTATTAGTTGCCCACTATGTGCCAAGCACAGTACTAGGGAATAGTCTAATAAAGACACAATCCCAAATAATTTGATGTGTATAATTGTTTTTTTTTTTTTGTTTAAAAAACATACATCTTACCTTCATTTTGTGACTATGTAAACTTGGGCCAAGCATTTCTGCTTTTGGTATCTTTTGGTTTTCCTAGGCCTTGATCAAGTTCCTTTTCTTCTCTGTATCTTGGTTGTTTCATCTATAAAATAGGGGTCTTTTCTAGTTCACACAGTCTAAAATACATGCAAGAGGAAAGCCTGTTTACAAAAGGGCTCTTACGTTAAAGCCAACTAGAGGAAGAAAGTGAAATAAACTTGGAAGTGTCAAAGGAATCTTCAGCTTTGGGATTCAGCCACAGACATTAAACCTGTAGCTTTGAGGTCCTGCTGCTAGGTAAAGATCGGGGTGTGGTCAGGGTGCAGGAGGCTGGGGCTAGGCTGGGGCTGGCACTGCAGTGAGGCCCAGGGGAGGATTTGGCATGTTGATGCAAGTGCTAATGCACTCTGGAACTCCAGCACTGGCTTTGAAAATTACAAGGAGTGTCTAGAAAAGGTTAATCTGCACATATACACGTTTGCAATTGTTTGTATTTACAATGGGTTTATTATACAGACTTTAAGTGAGTAAAGCATGTCTGCAGAAGCACCTGGAATATTGAGCACAGAACTAATGATTTTTTATTTATGGCCAGATGGAAGTCAGATTGGATTGTATGTAAAGCCTTCAAAAGTTTATTTGATTTCTGATATAGCAATTTTGAATGGTATAGTGCTTTATAAACCCCTTATAAAATTAACTTCTGGGGCAAAGTAAATAATTTTGTAAAGGTTTAAATACATCAACATACCTATATATAATCAGTAACAGTCACGCCATTTTATGTTTGTATGGTATGGGGAAAGGACCCGAGTTTTGGGAATTAAATACTGGTATTGACATTTATTGTACAAGCCTGAAAAATTTAAGTTCTCTAAGCTTCCATGTCCTTACCTGTAAAGTGGTAATAATATCTATCTTTCAGAGAACTAATATACTTGATTATACACAAAATGGCACAAAAATAAATGTTTTTTATTCATTGTCATTACTCCCTACCACTCCAAGTCCTTTGTAGAGTAGAAAGGGCAAAAGCAGATTTTGTGAAGGCTCTGAATTCTCTTCAGCTTCCATGAAATGGCTTAATTCTCTCAAACATATTTTTAAAACTCCTTTGTGTATTTCTTTTAATCTGGTCTTTTAAATGATGCGTTTTCTTATAAAAATCTTTCCTCTTCTTCCTGCCAGCAACTTAATCATAACAGCTTAGATATACTGAGCATTTACTACATGCTGGTGCTTTATAAGTATCAGTTCATTTCATTTTTACAACAGCCCTATGAAGTAGGTACTATCATCCTTATCTCATAGGTGAGGAAACTGAGCTATATAGAGGTTAAGTAATTTGCCCAAGATCAAGGAGTTAGGAAATGGCAGAGTTGAGATTCAGTCTGGGATGTCAGAATCCAATCTCTTAACCACTACCCTATACTGTCTATCACTATCTCCTTCAAATCCACTCCAGTCACTGCCAGGGGCATTTTCTGGTGTTGAGCCAGTCTCAGGGTTTAAATCTCTATCCTCTGTTAGAAAGCACCACCTAGACTTTCTCCTGGTACCCCAGACTCAACAAATCTGTCTCAAGTGAAATCTGCTTCCTTATCTGTCTTCCTTGATTTCTGTACGTGGTAAATACCATCTCGACATTCAGGCTGGGAATGTCTAAGTTACCTCCTTCTCCACCCCCACCCTCCCACCGGACATAGTTTGACAATCATCAAATCTCACTGATTCTCCCTTTTTCCTGATTCTGCTGCCTTTTCTTCATTCCTACTGATGCCACCTTAGTTCAGATTTCCACAGCCTATTGTCTTGTCTACTGTAATAGTCCTATCTGGTCTCCTTTTTCCAGGCTCTCTCTACTCTAATCCTTGATAAAAATAATCCACAAATTTTAGACGATAAGGAAAAGGCAAAAATATGAAATCAAAAGACCTAAGTGGAGCCATTCCTCTGCAACTTATTAGCTATGTCAATTTGTGTTAGCCACTTGGCAGCTATAAGCCTAAATTTCTCATCTTTATTACAAGGGTTAACACCTATCTTAACTAGTTCAAATTTCCACTAGACTTGTTTTGTGAGGGCAAGACCTTTGTCTAGCCTATTCACTACCATATCCCCAATGTCTCATGCATAAGAGGTGCTCAAATAATATTTGCTAGATTAATACATAGAAGACTCTTCAGTATTTTTTCATCTATTTCAATTCCTTCTGTGTGCAACTTCATATCCTAAATTCCATCACAGAGAACAGCAATTCCCCAACATATGCTGGCTTATATTCCTACGGTTTTTGTTCATACTTCTGCTTGGCAAATGTCCATTTATTTTTTTTAACTTTTAATTTGAAAAACCTATATACTCCTAGAATGTTGCAAAAATAGTAGAGTCCCTTGTATCCTTCACCCAGCTTCCCTCAATAGTACCACCTTTTTAATTATAGTATAATAAAAAACCAGGAAATTGACATTGGTATCATACTATTAACTACACTATAGGCCTCCTTCACATTTTATCAGTTCTTACGTCTATTCATTTGAGTGTGTGTATGTGAATGGTTATATGCAATTTTATCTCATGTGCAGATTTGTGTAACCACCACTACAATTAAGATACAGAATAAAACTATGAAATTTATAGTCACACCCATCCCCTACAACCACACCCTCTATCCTTATTCCCTGGCAGCCACTAACTTGTTTTCCATCCTTATATTTTTGTCAGTGCAAGAATGTTATATAAATGGAATCATCCAGTATGTGCAACCTTTTGAGATTGCCTTTTTCCACTCAGCATAATGCCTTCGAGACCCATCCAAGTTGTTTCATATATCAGAGTTCACCCCTTTTGATTGCTATTCTTTTTTTCTTTACTTAAATTCAGTTGCTATTCCTTTTTAAAAATACTTTGTCCAAACCCTGTTTCTTCTGTGAAGCTTTACTGATCTCCAAATAAAACTAAAGCCTCTACTATTCCTTGGGTTCCCATTATAGCCAGCATGGTCTATCACAACACTTTTGACCTTTGAATATCTTTATTTGTTCGTTCATCTGTAAGGGCTTTTGGTCACGTTTTGTATCTTTAGTGCCTAGCAAGTACCTGGTAAAACTAGGTATGTATTAGGGCGCCTGGGTGGCTCAGTTGGTTAAGTGACTGCCTTCGGTTCAGGTCATGATCCTGGAGTCCCTGGATCGAGTCCCGCATCGGGCTCCCTGCTTGGCAGGGAGTCTGCTTCTCCCTCTCCCACTCCCCGTTTGTGTTCCCTCTCTCGCTGTGTCTTTCTCTGTCAAATAAATAAATAAAATCTTTTAAAAAAAAAAGCTAGGTATGTATTAAATGTTCATTAAATTAATAAATGTAGACTAACTTATAAGTTACAGGTAGAAGTATTTTTGAAAATGGCAAAATGCTATGCAAAGGTTCCTAAAAGACTACACAGCTCATATTATAGTTGGTCTTCATGACTCCAGATTCTAATATTTACAAATTCATCTACTCATTTACATCATTTGTAACTCCAAAATCCATACTTGCAGGACTTTTCATGGTCATGTGAGAACACGTGCAGTGTGGTGAAAAATGTGAGTTGCCTGATACCCATGTTCCCAAATGAGGTTGAACCAGGCAATACTCTGCTTTATTGTTTTAGCTCTCACAGTATAAACAAATGTCCTTCTCCTGGTAGATTTAGTGTCATGGTTTTTGCATTTTTGTGCTTTTTCTGGGTAATTTTGCTGTTCCAAATGGCCCTGAAGCATACTCCTGAAGTGCTGTGTGGTGTTCCCAAGTTTAAGAAGGCTGTGAAATGCCTTATGGAGAAAATGTGTGTGCTAGATAAACTTCATTCAGGCACGAGTTATAGTATTGCTGGCCATGAGCTCAATGTTAATGAAACATTATACATTAAATAAAGTGTCTTCAAAAACAGAAACACACATAAAACAAAGTTATGTATTGATTGGTTGATGAAAACTTGTAACCAGAGGCTCATAGGAACTTAACTCTGTACTTCTCTTAGGAGCAATATTAAGTATTTGCGGCAACTTTATACAACATAACTACTATGAAAAATGGAAACTGACTGTACTTCTTCAGTTCTAAAACCAACAGCTCCCTATAGCCTCCAGAATGAAATAAGAATACAGTAATTTTTTAACCTCAGGTATACTGCTTACTACAATCTGTACCACCGACACATACCTTTTTGTTCAGCCCAAACAGTGTATTCTTCTTCATGTTGTGCCTCACTCGGCAGGATGTGTTGTCCCGTGCCTGCTAAGGTGATTTCCTGCCTTATCTCCCCCACCAGACTTGGCCTTTTAGACCAAGACCATGTCATAATCATCCTCACACACCCACCACAGTGTGCCAGCCCTACATCCTTCTATCCATCCTATATCCACTCACATCTTGGTGGGTCCTTACTCTGTGGTAGAAACTGGAGGTGCAAAGGCAAATAAGATGCAGTATAGCTATTGCCCTACGTGAGCTTACAGACAGCAGACCCTAGAGGACCCTGACATAAATGAGGTAAAAATCTCCAGGAGGAAATAAGCCTGTCTCTCACCCTAGGAAAAATGCCACAGACTAATACAGAAATGTTTCCAGCTATGAAAGAAATCTGCTGGTTTGGTAAAACAGAAGACAGAATTAAACTCTAGATATTTCTAGTTGAACACCACTCTCAAACTATTGTTACTAGGGTTTGATATCCTTACTTGAAAGCTGGAGGTTTCCAAAAAGTTAAAATTGGACAAAGATTCTTTGTCTTCTTAAAACCAAAACATGAATGAAAAAATAAGGTGGCGAGAGAAATAATCACCATTACCATCATACCAGTTACTATCATTATATTCATGCTCTGTGGTAAATGCTATATGTACTAAACATCTTATGTTCATTTTTTCATTTAATGCTCACAACAGCCCTTTGAAGTAGGTATTGTTATTCCCATTTTTACCAAGAGATTAAGTAACCTAAGATCACTCAATGAAGAGCTGATCCAGAATTCAAGGCCAGGTCCATTTGACTCCATAGCCTGTATATGCTTTTGT